TATTACTCAATAAAGTTTCTTACTTCTTTCATGTTTTTTTTTCTTTTTTGACACAGCTCATCATCCAGTCTTCAGCAGTTTCCAGGTATCTTTGAAGTCCGATTGTTGTAGTTTTGTAAGACAGTTCTAGTTGAACTAATCCTCTGCCTCCTTCGGATCTGGGAACATGCAGACGATCAACATCAGCTTTGGGATGATGCATGCGGTAGCAAGTGAGACGCTTTCTCGTTTTAGCGTGCATTCGTTTAATGTCAGCTATGGACTAGTTAAGGGTGTTAAAACTGTATTGCACCACATGGACAGCCAAGGTGGGTATGGCTTATGTTCTGTTTTTTTTTTTTTTTTTAATTCGGCTCAGTATTCAAAACCAGACGCACACGCCTGTAATATTCTTTTTCTACTTTCTCTTTCATTTGGGTATACTGTATTCCATCCTTCGCTAATTCATAGGTACCTATAGGCTTCTTCTTGTTCCAGTTCCCTAATCAAGTCTAGATCTATTGAGGATGTTTCTGCAATTCTCCCTTTCTTGAATGTTACTTTTGCACACTTACCTAATCCGAAATCCATACCTATGACATCAATGAAACATTTTAAATTATTGAGGAGAACCTTCAACTCATTGTCGTCTTTGGCAAAGTGTTTGAGATCATTTATGTCGTGTAGGTGATTGAACAATTTGTTCTTTACTTTGTATCCATAGCTGTTTTTTATTATTATTATTATTATTATTATTATTATTCTACTTGTAGTTTTGTAAGACAGTTCTAGTTGAACTAATCCTCTACCTCCTTTGGATCTGGGCACATACAGATGATCAACATCAGCTTTGGGATTATGAATGATTACCAAACGGATGAGGTAGAAGCCATTGTCAAAATGTAAGATAAATAACACGAACAGAATTTATAAACTTGCAATGAAAAGAAAAATGTCCCAAAAAAAGCTCAAACAGCAACAATCCTGCAAGCAATATAGTTCAAGCAAATCAAACAGGTAATAAGGCAAAATAATCCACAAACTTTTGAGTTAGTGTTTGTACACAAAGGCAAGTTCGGACAAGCGATCGAAGTAGGTCTGTCTAAGGCAGATCTGGACTGAGTCTTGTCAAAAGGAAAGCCGTCCAATTTTACTGGCTAAGAAAAATATCCCAGCATATATTTTAGCGTCTTTATAACTATAAGAAGGAGGAGGGGGAAAACTTTTGCAACTATTCCCATTCATTTTGGGAAATCTACACTAGCTCGTACGCTACGCCTTCCCAATATCTCATAAATAGCAGACTTTCCGTTTTGATTGCATGATAAGACGGAAAAGACATATCAGAGACGCTACTTGGTTTCAGCGATAAAATGATCGAAAGGGATGATATAAGAGCCGACCAGAATCTCAAACATCTGCTTCAGTGAAATGGAATAAGCCGTCATTTTCATTTGTACCCCCGTTACTTCTTTAAATAGCAACTAGCATCCATATTTATGATTGTTATTGCAATATTTTGTTAAAGTTGTTAAGCTCAAATATTTAACGATGCAATAAGGGAATTTCTACAGACATTTTATTTTCATAGAACTTGCCATGAGCATACCCAATCATCAACTTAAGAATTACGACTCATCAGAAAATTCTAATAGCAAAACCATAAATTTTTCATGGATATTTCTTCTTCTTCCTCTTCCTCTTCCTCTTCTTCTTCTTCTTCTCATTATTATTATTATCATTATTATTATTTTCTTGTAAGAGGGTGGGGATTTATCAAAAATGTTGACCAATGTACTCTCTAGCCATCTGGGTGGAAGTTGATTAATTGACTTGATTTTACGGTTTATCAACCTTTTGTGGACTGTGGAAAGCCGAAGTATATTTATGGATCGTAAAAACTGTTATCTCCATTTACATAAATACAGTAGTAAAGACTGTATGTTAGTCTGCAGTTGGAGATTTGGCTCCAGCTGCGCTGGTCAAACTCCCTGCTTCCGGTCAGAGAGGATCTCCAGACGAGGCTATGTCGAAGTGCAGAGTATCGTGTCGGGAAACAGCTACCCGATCCCATTTTATACGGGGTCTAAGGTGAATTTTTGTAGAGTGTTCCCTAAGATAATGTAAGTGTAATATCAGTGTGTGTATGTTTAGGTTTATATTAATATAATATATTAATTTACACACACACACACATATATATGTGTGTATGTGTGTGTTTGTGTGTCTGTGTGTGTTTCATTGTATAAATATACATATTGTGTCTATTTACTTTTTATTCTGATCCTTTAAAATTATCAAATCAGTTATTTGATGTTAAGATGCAATTCATCAATGAAAGCGCTGTAGTCTATTTTAACCCAAGTACTTTCGACCATTTCTAAAGTCATCTTCAGGGCTAAATTACAAAAACAAACTTATTGTAACTGCGATAAAATCTGCATTCAGTTTTTATAGTGATTTGTAAAAATACGCGCGAACGCGCGCTGTTATTTTTTTTTTTTTTTTATTTTAAATTTATCCGTTGTAGTTATGGGATTTCTTTGCAAAACAAACGGTTCAATTGATAGAAATGTAAAATGGTATTAAATATTATATGCACTTTAATATGTTGCTGCTATATTCGTAATAAATTTTGTTGAGTGTTGCTTGGTTGGTTGATTTTTGATATAGAGAGCCTCGAGAATTTGAAGTGTTTGCTTATTATTTTCGTGGCGTGGTATATTGGTGTTATCTAACAAGTATTTTCCTGTATTATGAAAGTGGAGAGAAATATCTATATTATTCAATGAAACAGGTTTGAATGAAGATACGCTGCCTATATATAAGAGACTAGTTTATTAATTATTGTACATCTCTGTTTGATGGACAGTTATTTGAATTATTTATTGTTGCTTTTGGTGTACTTGTCTTCTTTTCTTTGCCAGGGAGCAACGTATATATTTTGCTGGTAAGGTCAGGCCAAAAATCTCATCTTTCCCACTTGTGAAGAAATTGTCCGCATTCATTTCAAAAAGTGTCCGTCGACTAAAACTGTCAAATCCCAGCCAAGTATTCCGAGTCTCACATTTCTGTTGCTTACAGACCGAAAATTGGTAATTGAGAACTGGTTTTAATCGGGCTCAATCTAGACACGCCCCTCCCATCCGTTTAGTCGCGACGGTACTAGCTTCTAATTTGATGACCTTTAAACTTTTCAGTAACTCAGCACCGCCCATAATGAGGAAGGATAAACTCGCAAATTGGAGCCTTTTTCTATTTCTAAGTTATCAGTTCCATAATAAGAAAATATCAATGCTTCTTAATGCGACTTAATAGAAGGAAATGGGTATAAGATGAAAACGATACAGCAAAACAGACTAGGTGGTGGGCCTTCAAGAGACAATGAACAGGCGCAAAAATTGCTATATTTTACTCGTTTACTACTTTTAAGAGAGGAAAATAAGTCAATAATTAGAAAATAGTCCTCCTAAGAAAACAAAAACAAAATAAAAACAAACATGTTATTGGAAATGTATCGTATTTCTGACGTATATATTTGATCGGATCAGTTGACGGTCGCACAAAAAAAAAAAAAGGAAAAAGAAGCAAGATGTAGCCATGACTTTTCATTGGACCGTGAATTGACGAATCAGAAAATATCGAGAAGGCGAGGTATTTCGCTAAAAAAAAAATAGGTCCATACCTTCAAAATTCTTCAGTGATTTTTTGTCTTGGTAGCGAGCATAGTTTTTGGTAAAAAGGATGGATCACTGTACCCTCTTCATCACTGACAAGTAGGCGGCAATATTTCCACTTGCCGGAGACAATAAAAGTTGCCAATAAAAAAAAAACCATTGCAGTGTGCTATTCATTATTGTAAAAAAATCTTTCGACTGACGAAAAGACGGCTTTTGATTTTCAGTTAGAAAGCGAGACAGTGCAACTTTGTGGTTTTGTCCTGAAGCACGAATCAGAAAGAAACCTTAAGTTATCCGTCTTGTGTCAGGGAAACGCGAACTGCTGGTACTGACAGAACAACAAGAATACAACGGATCTGCAGATCCAATCTAACCTTTAAACTCTCCCTTCAACCCACGATCTCTCTCTGTCTCTGTCTCTGTCTCTCTCTCTCTCTCTTAGCAACTGTCTTGTTTGTCGAGTCTCTTCTTCACCTGCGGCAAGAACAGTTGTGTTATGACTCAGCAGGGATACAGAGAAAATATACAATGTCTGTTCGGGCATTTTACAGTAAATTTAAATTATCTAGACAACTAACCCCGCGACTTTGAAGTAACCTGACCACAAATCAAACGAAACTTAACATAATTTTGGTGAGACCAGGTGAGATTGCGTATTGCATAACCGTTGCATTCACGGTGAATATGCATCAAGATTTACCCTAAGCTGAACCACCTCTTTCTTATGTACTAAACTTAGCTTAGTTTGGCACAAGGCCAGAAATGCGGAGCACTTAGTGAAAATGGAACTCACTACTTAGTAGTAATAGGCAACTAGACTTACTCGCTAACGTTTGCCTGAAGTTGAACCTCCTCTTAATTTATTTTGGCAAAAGACCACCAGCATGTGGCACCCAGTGTGTATCGAAGTCACTACTCTCTGTGTCTCTATTGGTCTATAGTCCTCATCTCTGTCGTTATCGCAACGTTTCAGCCGTTCTGTCCTACGGCTTTCATCAGGTGTATATCGATTCAGGTAACCTGCGGGGAATTCCGAACTCTTTATTTATTTATACTATTTACATTCGGACTATTATCCTCATCTTTGTTATTGTTATCACAATGTTTCGGCCGGTATGCCCTCCGGACTTCTTCAGATGTATACTGATCCGGCTAATCTACAGGAAATTCGGAACTGAAACCTTTATTTGTTATTGTATTAAGGCAGACTGTTTAAAATATAAACATTATTAGATTTTAAGAAAAATCTTATATGTTTTTTTTCTTATTACGTTTTTCTAATGTTCTTCAGATTAATTAAATTCCTTTTATCCTGTTGTTGTTGTCCCGTGTCAAATGAAGTTAAAACTTTGTAAATGTTTACCTGATTCTTCACCGTCGACCTTCTTCTTCTTCTTCTTCTTCTTCTCCTCTTGCTACGCCTTCTTATTATTCTCCTCCTTCTTTCTCTCATCCTCATCCCCTCCTCCTCCTCCTTCTTTTTCTTCTTCTTTTTCTTCTTTTTCTTCTAGGCCTTCTTCTTCTTCTTCGTTGTCGTCGTCGTCTCCTCCTCCGCCTTCTTCTTCTTCTTCTTCTTCTTCTAGGCCTTCTTCTCCTCCTCCTCCTACGGCTTCTTATTATTCTCCTCCTCCTTCTTCCTCTCCTCCGCCTCCCCCTCCTCCTTCTTCTTCTAGGCTTTCTTCTCCTCCTCTTCCTCCTTCTTCTCATCCTCCTCCCCCTCATTCTCCTCCTCCTCCTTCTTCTTCTTCTTAAGAGAGTATGGGAGTTTTTCTGTAATTATGATTTTTCTAAACGCTTTCGGCCAATTTGCGAGCACATCCTTTCTGTCCCAGCTTAGAATTTCTACTACTTTGAAACAACTTAGAACAGACACACAGGAAACACATTAACAGATCAGCCTTTGAAAATGGTGAAAGCGCTTCGTACAATAATTATTACTGACAGTTTCTACACTTTCTTATTCTCCACCAAAAGGGAAAAAAAAGAAAATTGAGAAAAACTTAATGAAAAAATATGAAAGTCTTCCATGTCTGTAATATTAAATGGAACGTGTATAAAAGAAGGGTTGCTGTCTAAATATGCAATATCTATCTATCTATATATATAGATACACCTAGTGAGCCAAACAAACCTACCTAGGTTTCACCTAAACGGATCGTCAGGGAAAGTAAGGCTCTATCTATGTCTGCGCTACGGTTGTATTGAGCGCTTTTGTTAATTAGTTGTTTACTCGTATCGGGGTTTTTTCTTTGGGCTTCAGACCTGTATCTGTGCGATTTTTTTGTCGGCAGAAGTTCATGTTTGTAGCTATTTCTTTTTTTAAAACCTTTTTTCACTCGAGATTGATTTGATTATTAGCAAATCAAAAAATTCGAGGGTTTTTTCCGAGTCTAGTTATCTATAATTATATATATATATATATATATATATATATATATATATATATATATATATATATATAAAAAAATTAATTTACATTAACCAGAAAAAGGCTTAGACACAAGCGTCTATCTTTTAATTTTGAATTTTAATGTAACTATAACAACAAAAACATTTCGATTTCATTTTTTTTTGCCTTGAAAAAGTCGGAAGACGAAACGCGTCGGCAAAATGTATGATTTTTTCAAATTGTCATTTATACCAATCTGTCTTGTGCACAGAATTCATCTGGGAATTTAACTATATATATATATATATATATATATATATATATATATATATATGTCCAAGTGGTTTTGAACGTTCGTTTTCTGGCCATGAGACCCGGGTTCGAATCTTGATTTGTTAGATTTGTCATCTTCTTGATGTTGTCGGTCTGGAGGAAAGTGGCTGAAAACCATAACACGGGTTGACCCAAGCCTTGTGAGTGAAATTGGGAACAAAGGGGCCGTCGATAGCTGGCCGAGGGTCTGAGCGTCCTGGCCTTGTTCAATTTGCTGATCACGATAGATAACACGCTCTCTCCCAGAAACTGTAACTAAGGTCTGCTCAGCATAGTTGCAGTATAAACCACAGGTGGGCCCTGTGGGTGTTGAACAAACGCAAATGTGCCTGAGCGAGCTTCTGCAATAGGGATTGGCTAGCCGCCCTAGTTGACTGGTATCCTTGAATACGAGTGGCCAGATATTATGATGACATGGTGAGTAAATACATATGAATTGTCAAATATATATGAATATTGAAATAAATAGATTACTAAAGAAAGAAACGTAGATGAAAATCTATGTAAAATGTTCCCGGGTGTAATGGTTGCCGTCGTTCGAGTCATTCCGCCACCGTGGACGCCTACTTTCTCTACCCTCTCCCTCTCTCTCTCCTTCCTCTGTCCTTTCTCTCTCTGTCTCTCTCCACACTCTCTCTCCTCCCACACTTTCAGCTTCTCCGTCTCTATTTCTCCTCTCTCTCTCTTTGTCTCTTTTTCCGACTCTCCCCACTTTCATTTCTCTATTTCTCTCCCATATCTATCTCCCATCTTTCCCAGTCTCACTCACAGTCTTTTTCTCTCTCTCTCTCTTTATATATCACTCTCTCTCTCTCTCTCTCTCTCTCTCGACGCTCCATCTCAGCACCTCTTTCTCTCCTTCCACACTTTCTCTCTCCATTTCCTCTCTTCACCTCCTGTTTCTCTTTTTCGCCTTGTCTCCCCTCTCTGTCCTTCCTCTGCCTCTCTCTCCTCCTCTCTCTCTCTCTCTCTCTCTCTCTCTCTCTCTCGCTCCATCTCAGCACCTCTTTCTCTCCTCCCCTCCCATCTCTCTCCATTTCATCTCTTATGCCTCCCCGTTTCCTTTTCTCCTTGTCTCCCCTCTCTCTGTCCTTCCTCTGCCTCTCTCCTCTCTCTCTCTCTCTCTCTCTCGGCGCTCCATCTCAGCACCTCTTTCTCTCCTTCCTCCCCGTCTCTCTCCATTTCCTCTCTTCGCCTCCTATTTCTCTTTTTCTCCTTGTCTCCCCTCTCTGTCCTTCCTCTGCCTCTCTCTCTCTCTCTCTCTCTCTCTCTCTCTCTCTCTCTCTCTCTCCGGTTTGCTTCTTTGTCAGAGGAATTCCTGCAGATGATTCAAATCTTCTTTGTAATTGTTGTCGTGTCAAACCCAGGAAATTCACCTTTGAGCTCTCGGTGAACTGATGATGACGTTCCTTTGATGTGGTGCCGAAGAAAAGTCTTGGAGAAAAATAAGGAGAAAGGTGAAGGCAGAGTTGGAATTGGTGTTACCAAGAGTCGGAGAAACGGGCAGGTGGACAGAAGGAAGAAAACAAAAGCATCATATGTCGGCGGAAGGGAAGAGAATGTAAGAGGATGTTTTCAGTTTTATTCAAGGGTGGAAAAAAAGCGAAATATGATGGAAGCTAAAAGAGATTGAAGAAGAAGAAGAAGAAGAAGAAGAAGAAGAAGAAGAAGAAGAAAGAAAGAAAGAAAGAAGAAGAAGAAGAAGAAGAAGAAGACAAGTGAAAGAAGAACAATGAAAGAATAATAAGATAAAGAATGATTAAAGAAGAAAAAAAAAGAAGAAAAATGAAGGAAGAAGATGAAGAGAAAGAAGAAAGAAGAAAAAGTACACAATAGAAGGATGAAAGAATAACAACAGCAACAAGAAACAAAAAAAGAAGAAGCGGAGAAAGAAAAAGGAGAAAAGAAAATGGAGGATAACCGTTAAAAGCAAATAAAGAAAGAAGATGAAAGAAAAATAAATGAGATAGAAAGAAGAAGAAAGATGGAAGAAGTAGAAAGAAAAGTATAAAAGAAAGAGAAAAAAGAAAAAGAAAGATAGAAGCAAAAGAGGAACAAGAAGAAAAGGAGAAAGAAGAATGGGGGAAAAGAATGAAAAAATATGAAAGCACAAGAAAAAACAAGAAGAAGAAAAGAAGAAAGAGGACAATTTTTTAAACAAGGGAAAGATTAAAAGGTCGACGGTGACGAATCAGGTAAATATTTACAAAGATTTAACTTCATCTGACACGGGACAACGATAACAGGACAACAAGAATTTAATTCATAAACATGTGTGACTCCATGGATAAATATTACACCATCTACAGTACACCCCAAACATTTACTACGCTTGCCCTAGTCTGACACAGGGCCATGTTATTTCGATGCCATTTGCGGAAGTAGCTTGCACGCCAATAGAGAACACGTTCGGTGAATGCATAAAAATAGTTTGGTTTGGTTTGTTTTGTTTTATGGCGTATCAACCGCAATGGGTTATTTAATGTCGGCAAGATTTTTATTGTTAGCAATATTTTTTCCAAAAATGTATTGCTGGTAATATTTTTTCATTCAAAAATGTATTGCTGGTAATGTTTTTTTTCCTTCAAAAAATTTATTGCTGGTCTTAAAATCCATATTTACACTTTCATAGTGTTTTAATCCCAGTTTGGGGGTTAACTATTTACGCATGTTTGGGACCCTAACAGGTGCTACCACCCGGGGTTAGGATAGACCTGTGAACACCAACAATTAAGAGGAGGTTCCACACTCCCCAAAACCTCCTTATCAGAGGCCTTGCTATTATATGTAGGTTATTGTCTTACCCAGGACGCCGGATGCAGTTTATCGTCATACCCAGGACGAGGATGTAGTTTATCGTCATACTCAGGACAAGCACAAAAATAGAAATGAAAACATGGAAGTGTTCTCTGGCCGGTTTTATTTAACCTACACGACGAGGCGTTTCTAAGAAAACTAGAAGTCCTACCAGGATATATTAATGGCGAACTTAATCTTAACAAAATAAGGAATGCGGGGGATAGTGTTGATGGCACCCTTTCAATGAAAACTGAAAGAACTCTCCGATAAAAGGTAAGCAAGAAGAATGGACTATTTACTGTACGAAACAGAACGCATAGATGTCAGTAAAGAAAAAAAATGGTTCACTAAGACGCAAGGGGTTACTGAGACTGAAAGAAACAGTGAGTCGAATAAAAGAACAAATGTCGAGGAAAAGAGTTCCACAAGTGATAAACGCGAGGGAAGAATTGCAGTTACATCGATCAATTTCTTCAGTGAAATTATGAAACCTATCTAAGACTGAGCTTAAATTGAAGTCGCGCTACCAAAGTGGAAAGCTTCTCAGAACAATTATATATTATGTCTTTAAATTCCTTGAGGAACATAAGGCCGCATGTTGCGGTTTCTATGTACTGTAACCTAGAAAAGGTCTACTGAATGAGGAATAACCAAAACGGAGGTTAGAAATGAAATGATAATCTTTATAACATCAACAAAATACAATACTCGCCAGCGGCGTGAAGTAGGTAAACCACTGCTAGTGGTCGACTACTTATACAGCATATTACCCCCACTTACAATAGTGTCCAACATATTTATGAGGATTTGGACATACACATTAGTGTTCATAGGTACGGTATATAACACTATAAAAAGCCAGTTTTTTTTTTTTTTAATGAATAGTTTGCTAGCCTACTGCTCAACCTCGGGGATCAAGTTTTGAATCCAGAGTTCTTCTCTCAGGCCATAAAACCCGGTCTGTCCTGCTATTTATCCATAGATGGGGGAAGAAGAGTATTCATATATTTACCAAGGGTATTAGCACGTAAGTGAATCTAATAGATTCGACGAGAATTCGAACTCGGCTCACCGATTCCTCAATCCGCTACCCATTACTCCACCGTGTCTCCACCATCAGAACAATTACCATGAAAATATTTCTAGAAAAGACACAGGGAAGCTCCGTTACCTTGATGGGAAAGTGACTGAAGATAAGATGCCAGGCCAGGATTGATAACGTTGCAGATTGTTCTTTGATTTTATCAAGACTACCTACATACATATCAGAAGCATCAAATTATTCAATGCACAGACGAGTGGTTGTTAGCACTATTGATTTGTATTTTTACGGCTTATCAACCCTTTGCAGGTTATTTAAAGCCAGAACATAGTTTAAGATTGTACGAATCATTTGGAGATAATAATTATTTAGTGATACAAGTTATACTATTTAACCCATAGCTGGGGGAGAGGAAGCGGATTCATACCTTTCCAAACGGTATTTACGCGTAAGTGAATATAACGAACCCAACTGGAACTGGAATTCGGCTTTAAGATTTCTCATTCCAAGCAGTTATCCGTTACACCACCCACACATCCACGCCTACAGTACCTTATATTCCCAAGTGCTCACCCATGCAGGCTTGACGCTGCTTAATTTCGGTGACCATACGGAAACCGGTGTTTTAACGTGATATGGCCGTAAGTTGCTAGTTAGCACCAATCAATTAATTTTTATTATTGAGTGAAAGATCATCATGCCAACGAAATAACGCTGGGGGTACAAAATGTACGAAGCCCGATACACTTGACATGATACCCAGTCTGATAAGGGTATACCACGCACATGCATCACAGTCAAATGTGCGTAATATTGTGACAGATTTTCATAAAACAATGTGCGAATTTGCAGGTGGTGGCCATTTAGAAATACCTTCAGATCTCCTACAGCCTTGAGCAAGTTAATTGAAACATCCGCTTTATTTTTCTTTCCTTCGCCATCCGGTCAACTATAAACCCACCGGAATGACAGGGTGTAATCGATTTCTATTTTTTCCTCAGATTAGGTCATTTCCAGTGGTGTGCAGTAATATGAATCTATTTTCGGGGTGTATGATCAAATCTGTTTGTCCTTGAAAAATACTGCGTCATCCGTGATTGCATCAGCTTTTCATCACGCTCAAACACTATTGTCTCAACTGTCAATTAGTTGTCCTACGGCTATTGTCTGCGATGGACGTTACTCCGAGGAAGCGTACGAAAACTGCAGCGCTGCACGAACACACTGGCAAACCCTTACCAGTGAACAAATCAAAATTACTATACATTGGCACGAAAACTCTACTGATTTAAATCCAATCGAGAATCTGTGGTCAATCTGCAAGGAACGACTTCGTGGAATGGACATACGAAGTATTAACATACGCGCTGGGTCATGTTTCATTGGGAAAATACGGAAAAAAGTAAATAATAACTGTCGTAACCTAGAAAAGGTTATTGAATAAGAATAACCAAAACGAAAGTTGGAAACGGAATGGTGATCTTTATAACATTAACAGCATACAAGATTCGCCAGCGGCGTGTAGTAAGTAATCCACTGCTCGTGGTGAACCCTCCAGACAATATATTCCACTGTATTGATGATTATTGAGACATTCCCATTATAGTTCATAAGTACGAGGTACCTCGAGGCGGTGTAGCAAGCTTGTCTCGCTAGAACAATTACGACTGAGTAGTGAGTTCGATCCTCAATGGGTGCCTCATACTTTCGGCCTTGTACGTTTGGAAAATCACTATAGTTCATAAGTACGGTATAACAATAACGGAATTCGTTTTGTTTCAATTAATTTCCACAGAGGTGTATTAAGTGTATTACCAAGACTCTAGATGTATCTCCGAAGTTGCCTTGGTTGCCTCATACTTTAAACTTTAAAAAAGAAAATACTTTCGACAACCGGACATAAATACTTCCCCACTGCACTCAAATATTTTTCCTTTGGTTTCTGTTGTATACTCATTTGCTGACTTCAGAGACCTAAGGTCAGGAATAGCATCATGGCATTTTCTACTGATCATTTTTGTAAAAAAAATAAATAAATAAAATAAAAACAAAACAACCTAAGATAGCACATATTGATAAACCCCTTCGTGAGGCGTGAGCTGTACTTGTGAGAACATTTTTTTTATTACCATGGATTCCTTTAATGAGTCTAACAGAACCTTTTTTCCAGGCAAAACTCAGGACCATAACCACAACTGTAATTATTGATGTCTTCTTGTGCCACATTTTTGAGATATCCACTTCAAGACCCACGTATTTTGGTAGTTTTTTGAAGATCTTCAAAGATACATTACAATCTTCAGGAACTTCCATGTCAATAAGAAAGCACATTCTGTTTTTGTGATCTTTGTTCACGATGTTTGGGCGATTAGCTTTGATTGTTCTGCCTGTGTGTATTATAAAGTTCCATAAACTTATTACCGGTCCTATGTCTGCAACCAAGTCTAGGTGACGTTCGTACCAATTTCTTGCAGTTCCCTTCCCATAAATGTTATAGATTTTCCAGTACATATATTGACCTACCCTGTCATGCCGGGTTTTATATTGGGTAG